TTGTGTGTAGCTCGGTTCAGTTCAGTTTGCTTTCCATTTATACACCATAAGTTATCTCAGTTACTGAGCTAGGACCGGTCTCGGCACGGTTTTTCAAGGGTAGTGTAAATAGGGTAATTGTTGAGTCATGACCTTTGCCCCCACAAATGCCTGCAGAGCTTAAAGCCTGGTTTATGCTCAGAAAACAGGTCGTCTGCATGTGTGTCATAGTGAACGCAGATATGTCCCCGCCCCCTCCGCAGAAACTCTGGTGCTTCTCCCAAAAATTATAGGTGACCGCAGACAGTAGGCCTCCGATTGGTCAAATCTACATCTTCTTCAACACTATGCGTATTTCCTGTTTGGTACCTTACCGGCTTGTTTTGTTTGTATGACCGCCATTTTGGAAAACGACTCGAAGAAGTGAGGAAGTACCCACATCCGTACGACTCTCGTTCTCCACACCACAAGGACAGCACTCGTTGACAGCGCCATCTTTGTTGAATGACCTCCGAAACCGGAAGACAACTCACCACCCACCACCCCCATAATCCTAGCTAGTTCCTCAATGTCCATCTTCCGTTGTGGCGTGGAATAACATAGCGCAGACCAGGCTTCAAATTTGGGCTTAATTAAAAAATATCTGTGACGAGCTTACTGCGACACACTGCTGCGGGGAGGATAAACAGCACTTTAGATGTTCTGGGTTCTTCTGGGACTTCCTGAATGGGAAGGTTCTCCACTGTTCCATGTTTGTCCATTTTGCTGATTATGTTTCTCTAGAGTATATATATATATATATATAAATATAATATATATATATATATATATAAACTTCGAAACCAGATCATCTGCATAGGTGTCGCAGTGAACGCAGAGACGTCCCTGCGCCCTCCGCAGACACTCTGCTGCACCTCCCAAATTGTAGGCAACCGCAGACAATGCCGCAGACAGGAGGCCTCTTATCTCCTGTTTGGTTCCTTACCGGCTTGTTTTGTTTGTATGACCGCCATTGCTAGACCAGCTAGAAGAGAGAACGCTGCGACCCTTTTTCCACCTGGATCCCGGCTCTTTTTGGCCCTCATATCCCTCCTTTGTCGCGCAAACTTGCCCACACTTCCTCAAAGCCTCGGCCGTATCCAAAGCCACAGGTAGGCCGTACCTAGAGCCGCAGCAAGGCCGTCTCTAGAGCCGCAGCTAGGCCGTACGTAGAGCCGCAGCAAGGCCGTCTCTAAAGCCACAGCTAGGCCGTACCTAGAGCCGCAGCAAGGCCGTCTCTAGAGCCGCAGCTAGGCCGTACGTAGAGCCGCGGCAAGGCCGTACATAGAGCCGCGGCTAGGCCATACCTAGAGCCACAGCTAGGCCGTACGTAGAGCCACGGCTAGGCCGTACGTAGAGCCACGGCTAGGCCATACCTAGAGCCACGGCTAGGCCATACCTAGAGCCACGGCTAGGCCGTACGTAGAGCCACGGCTAGGCCGTATGTAGAGCCGCAGCTAGGCCGTACATAGAGCCACGGCTAGGCCGTACGTAGAGCCGCGGCTAGGCCGTACGTAGAGCCGCAGCTAGGCCGTACATAGAGCCGCAGCTAGGCCGTACATAGAGCCGCAGCTAGGCCGTACGTAGAG